CCCTCTCCTCCCCATCCTATGTACCCAGGGCGCAAAGTGATTGAGTTCTCTGAGGACAAGGTAAGGATCCCAAAGAACAGCCCCCTGCCCAACTGTACGTATGCTACGCGCCAGGCCATTTCCCTCAGCCTGGTACAGAGTGAAGATGAGAGCTGCGACAGGCACCGGACAGGCCCCAGCAGCCCTGCTTCAGAAGGGCACCGCTCAGTCTCCAGCTGTTCCTGTCAGCAGTCCCCCAAAGCAGCCAGGGCACACGGCTCTTCACAGAGCAGCCCATTCAGCAGCCCTCCCCAAATCCCGAGCGCCTTTGCCAGCTCTGCCAGCTCTGAGGAGGACCTGCTGGCTAACTGGCAGCGTATGTTTGTGGATAAGGCACCCCCCACCTCAGAGCGAGTGCTGATGAACCGCACGGCTTTCAGCCGTGATACGGCCCCCGAGCTCCAGAAGAGGTTCAGCCGCTCCATGCAGGAGCTGGGTAGGGCAGCCTCAGCTTACTCAGATGGTGAGGAGTCTGCACAGAGCTGCAGCTGGACTGTGAGCCGGGACTCAAGCGTGGACACAGACAGCACTGAGTCCAGAGCCCGCAGGAGCCATTTCTCCTCAGACTATGGTACAGATTTCTCCCAGGATGAAACCCAGAAGCTGTTGCTTGAAAGTGGTGGAGGCACTGCTGAGCCTGAAAGCCCCTCACCAGAAAAGCACAAGGACTATGTAGACCTTGGCTTTCCTGAGAGCCCAGCTGAGGAGAGAGAAATGCTGCTCCAGGGAAACAAGGAGAGCAGCCAAGGAGCTGTCCAAGAGGAAAGTGGAGAAGGCAGGGTCAGGCCTCATTTCAGTCGGCCGCACCGCAGCCCCAAGAGGATGGGGGTGCACCACTTGCATCGCAAAGACAGTCTGACACAAGCCCAGGAACAGGGCAACCTTCTCAGCTGAAGCAGAGCAAGAAGCAGCCATGCTTAGCAGAGCTGTGGGATGCCCCCATCAGTCCACCTGAGGGAGAAGCCTCCCTTAGTACCCTCCTCCCAGGGGAAATCTCGGAGATTTTATATTTATTCTCTTCTTTTGCTACCTGGAAGAGTTGGGATCTCCCTTCCCTGGCACCTAAGACCCTTAGTACAAGCACACACAGTGTGCAGGAGCACACCCACTGCCCCAACACACCTGCAGCTCTCTTCACAGCCTCACACTGGTGCCTGTACCAGAGCTAGTTCTTGGTACCCCTTGTCCTGGTGCCTGTGCCTCTTTTTGCTCTCATCTCCCTTCCCACTCAGGTACCTGAAGCCCTGGGTGCTCTCGTGTTGCTTCCCTGCAGCTGTTCTGCTCTCTTTTAACTTGTGCCAACAGGGCAGAGTGCCTTTGTGGTAGTGTCTGATTCCCTGGGAGCCCCAGCGGCTGTGAGTGGGGCACGAGGACTCTCCCAGCAGATGGCTGTGTGCCGTGGGGATGAGCTGGGATTGCTGCTGTCTCATTTTCCTCCTGGGTTTTGTTTTCCCCAGCCACCCACTGGGTGGGTCTCCAGAGTCTGCCTCTGCAGGTTGCTGCCGTGTGTCTCCAGGGCTGGGCTCAGCACCTGGTCCCCACTGAAGCAGTGCACAAGGGCTGGTGCTGTGGTGTGGGGCAAGGGCGCTGCCTGCTGAGGTGGTTTGGGGAAGCAGTGCCTGGTGCCACTGGGGTTTGTATTTGTGTGTCTCCTCCCTCACACCTCTTCCCCTGTTCTCTGTGCTGTTGTTTTGTTTGGACAGTGCTGATGCTTTGCTCTTGGGTGGGCTTCTTTCTTCTTTCCAAGCCTTTGGTTTTGGGGTGTATTGTTTTTTTCTTTCCCCCACCCCGCATAAACAGACACAGCTGTTGGCAGCCGGTCCGATGCCTGCACTGAGGGTGTGTTGAGGAGTCTCAGCTATCAGAGCTGCACTCCCCTCTGATCCTGGCCTCCAGCCTGCAGAAACCCCTCCAGATTTAGGAACAAGGTTTTTCCCCAGGCAAGCAAGGCATGAAGGATGCTACTGGGCTTTTCTGGGAAGGGCTTAGTGCAGGGCCAACAGGGATGCGAGGGCAGCACACTGAGGAGCTGCTCCCTGCAGATACACTACCTCATGTCTCGGCAGCAGCCCTTCATCAGGGTCTCCTTGCACCCCTTCTCTAGGGAGCTCCAGGCTCTGGTTCCACTCTGGGGCCTCCCTTCCTGGGTAGGGCTCTCTGTGTGTTTTTCCTAGCGTAGTGTGATATTGCGTGACTTTTCTTCTCAGTCTTGTGTGCTCAGTGTCTTGTTGGGGGGGGGAGGGAATGGGAGGGGTCTGTAGATGTAGGTATTTTTTTGAGAGCTTACAAAGCCCTCCTGTTTTAATTTTGTCCTGTGCTCTTATCTGTCTGGTGTTTCTTGGCTTCCATGGGAGTGCAGGGCAGAGAACAGCCCAGTCCCCCTTTAAACCTTGCGCTCAGCCTGCTGTCTGGTTTTTGAGTTGGATTTGTGTTGTTCTCCCACCCTACACCATGCAGGCTCTTCACTGAGCTGGAGGGAGAGCATTCTCTCCAGAAGGGAGCATCTGTTCATATGCTTACATCAAGATTTGCAGCCAAGAACTGTCTGGGGGCCTGCTCCCCTCCCCAAACCTATGTCTCTGTAAAGGGCTTGCAGCTTGTAGCTGGGGCCAGCCAGGGCCTCAGCTTGAGCCTGGAGGCTCCAGGGCCAGTGAAGGGGAGCTGCAGGCCTCTCTGGCAAGCTGTGTAGATTGTTTTATGGACCCTGGGCAGAGCTGCTGCCTACACACTCACCTTGTTTCCCACCTGGAACAGTTGTAGAGTTGGATGCCACCCTCTGGTGGGCAGGTGGGACTCGGTATTTCACTGCAGTGTTTCGCTGTGCAGACAGGCTGAGAGTGGGAGCCTTCTCTGAGCCTGCAGAGTGTTTATCTCCCCTATCCCAATTGTGGAGGGGCAGGGAGTTGTCCTTGGGTTTGCTGCCATCAGTCACTCCACTGCTGCATTTCTTTTGTTCTTCTGCAGCACTGCTGAGGATTTGCATCTGCAGCAGCTGCCAGATCCTGCCTCACAGATGTCACCTGGGCTTGGCTGCTCACTGAGTGAGCTCTGAGGCTGCTGGTGGCCTGCAGTGGGGGTGGCATTGGCCCCCCAGGGCTCAGCCCCATCTCCTCTGAATCCTAGCATGCTGGTCAGTGGACAAGACTCTTGCTAAGGCAGCTGGTGCTGATGATGCTGAACAGAGCTGGCTTCTCTCTGCTTTTTGTCAAGGTACACTGAAAAGCAAAACAATGAAGTGGAGGGGCGGCAAAGGTGCATGCCCACCACCTCACCAGGCACTTGGGCTTTGCAGCATTAGGATGCTGGCAGAGGTTGAGGGGGAGTGGTGGCCTCAAGCAGCAGCGGAACACTCTCTTGCCCTGTGGGCGTTGTGTTCTGTGCACTCCTGCCCACCTCCAGCAGTATTGGCTCTTGGGCCTTGAGCCCATCTGAGTTCCACTGTCCCAACTCCAGACTGTTAATCTGTAACTAATGTGTTTTTTTCTGAGATTTTCAAACTGATGTATATTTTAAGACCAGAAATAAACTATTTTAAAAGTAGATGGCAATGGTAGAATTGTACTTTATACTGAATAAGACCCGAACCGGAATGATCCTGAGTATGTGAAGGCATAGAGCTAGCTACTCATGGTACAGTGTCCCAAGTTTTTTGAACTGTGTGTGCCACCCATTGTCTTGTCCAGGGAGAGCAATCCTGTGACCTGTAAGCTGATAATGTAAGCACCCCTCAGTGTTACTCATAAGATTCTGCTTACTCCATTTCACATATTTTGCTGGTTGTACTGGCTGATCTGCCTTGCCACATTTCCACATTCTCATCTAGTGTAGGATATGGTGTAGCTAATCCTTTTAATAGTTGTTGGTTTTCTTGTAGTCCCAGCTTTTGGAGTCATCTGAGAGTATCATTTCACTTCAGAAACTGAGTGACATAGGACCACATAGCATACCCCCTTGCTGGGGTTCCTAAGAGGTTTATAATTCTAGATTCAGTATTTTGTGTGAGGGGATGACTGCACATACCCTAGTCAGGAAGCCCTCCAAACATGAGGCAGAGAGTTCCTGCAAGATGCGGATACAGACAATTGAAGTGTTTCCACATTGAAGGGTGATGCAGAAGTCAGAGGGCTGTGAAGAATTTTCTTCCATCTCCCAAGTCAGGTTCCCTGTGCCTTTCTGAGCTGGCTGCATGCAAGGCTAACACCAGAAAGAGTGTCTTGTTTCTTTGTCCCCATAATTAATTATTTTATTCCTTGTTCCCTTGAGTAGCAGCTGCTACCACAATTTAATCTTCTAGCCTAATATGAGCCTTGAAACACGATCTTCCTTGTCAGCAAGGGACGCTTGGTAAAGCGCAGGCAGCGCAACCCACGGTGCTGGTGCGGGCTGAAGCCTCCACCAGGGTGTGCACGGCTGGTGTCAAGCTCCCCGCAGAGCTGGATTACCCCAGCGCGCTTCCTCCTGGCCCGAGGGAGGGCCCAGGGGACAAAAAATCGGGCTGGCACCGACCTGTCCCCGGCGCCGGGACCGAGTCGGGAGCGCGGGCGAGCCGGGGAGGCAGCGGGCGAGCGGCTCGCGCCCCCTGCCGG